TCTGTAAACAATGTTTGATGAATTCGAAAAATATATATTTTTTTTATAACAAAATCTATATTTAGTTTAATCAGGCCCTAAGTTAATGTAAAGTACTTGTTTACACACTTTGCTAATTGCTTTGTCGTCAGAGATCCTTACATTCATACATATGTACATAAGTATGTAAATACTAGGATGCTCGAGTATTCGACTTTTGTCAAAAACCGAGTTTCGAGTTATTTGAAAAAGGCAACTTAAAAAACAGGTTTCCAATTTTTAAATTTAGAAAAAACCGATTTTCGTAATTGATAACTTTTATGACACTTTTCACAAAATAAAAAATATACATATAATGAATTTACAGCAGTATCATAAATATAAATTAAATGAATAAACGGTTTATTCGATAACAAAATTATGATTCGTTCGATATGCGGACAATTTGAAAAAAAAAACAAAAACAAGAGTAAAAACCTAGTCAGTCACCCTAGTAAATATTGCTTACGTATGTAAATACATACTAACACAAGTTCTGGACGACTGATAAGAAATGTGCTTCTATTTAGAAAGGAAAATTCTAAAATCTATTAAAATACATACATACATACATAAATTAAAAGTTATAATAACTATACGACACCTAAATTTTGGCAAGTTGTGACTATTTATTCTCGACAGGCAATGGTCAACCTCCGATAATATTTCTGCCATGAAAAACAGCTTCTCATAAAAATACAATCGCCGTTCGGACTCGACGCAAAACTATAGGTGCGTCCCCTTTGTGTAACATCAAGGCGCACGCCACAACTCGGAGGAGAAGCTCGGCCTAACATTAGCAAATCGTGAGCTAAATTTGACCATAGATGCAGGTTTTCGAAAAATTTCGACCCCCGCGCCACTTACTGGCAAAATATTTTGTGGAGTTATTTTTTTAATGTAAGTAATATACACTCCCAATATAAATGAAATACGACCATAAATGTGGGTTGTCGAAATATCTCATACATAAAATAATTAAGGAATGACGTGCATTTTACAACTTTATTTTTATTAAAAATTCTACGTTTAATTCAACGAAATTTATATTTAGCATATTTTGCATACATATATTTATGCTAATGGTAACCTTTATTGCTTTGTTATATGTAGAAAAGCGCTCCACGAATTTATAAATTTATGAATCACACAGGTCGGTTGGGTTAAAAATGTTAGTACTTTACTAGACGAGATGAAATGGTTTCAACCCAGCCTATTTCAAGACTGAAACATGATTTTAAGGCTGTTCATGGTATAAACCAAGGAATTGTATCTCTTTAACCACTCTGCGTATGAATTTCTTGAAATATAATTTTCTTCCAGAGAATTGTAAAAGTTTCAGTAATATAAAGAAATTCGAAATTTTTAATGTATTATTTTGTAGAATTGTTTGCATTCGAAGAAACCGCCACATCTTGTCCCTTCCGCATTCGTTCCCCCGCCATAGCCCGGTTTTATTCAGTTTCTGTGCTGGGCGTTATTTCGTTGAACCCTTAAAATAATCTTAAAATTGTTACAGTTTAAGTAGAAAATTCTAGGGCGTAAGAAATATTTTAAGCGCCCTTTTCTAAAGTATCTTCTAAAATTTGTCTGCCCTTCAAACAGTTTTTTGGAGAACTAAATTTTGACAGATAAATATTAAAAGCTACTTGAGTAAACGGCGCTAAACCCAATTTCGCTAGTAACCCAACCGGCCTTACGACCTGCACTAGGCCACCCGAAAAGTTAATTTTAACCGTTATAATGTTTTCAAAAAAGTTTTTTTTTTTAATTTTTAATTCAATTGGTCTTAAAACTTATATATATATTAATGTTTTATTTATTTACTGCATTTAAATGACATTCAATGCATGCGCACATACATATGTACATATTTATTTAAACTGCAATATTGTATAATAATTCTTAATATAAATACATATGTGACGGGAAAAGTCAAAAGTGAACTAGGGGGACAATTTCGCCATGTCACGTTTTGCTTTTAATAACTTTTACACGTGGAAGACGACGCTCCGGTGAAAAGATCCTATGACTCAGCACCCATGGGTAGACAACGAAAGCAAGAGCACCCACGAACACAACGGAAGGATCAAGCGCAGAAGGCTGTGTCCGCACTTGGCGCAAATCCGCAAAGGGGAGAGGCAACTGGCGTTGCTTTTCGGTCTCGACTTAAACCGACTAACGGTTGTAGTGCCAAATAAGAAGAAGATGGCGAAGATGATTTCTTGAATATTAGTTTTTTCATAAATTCACCTCAAAGATGGATGAATTGCCAAACAAAACATTAGTCATTTTTCTCGAACCGTAGGTCCCTTTCAACTTTCTCTGTCACATACATATACATAGATATAATGTATGTATAAATTACGAGTAGTTAAGTGAAAAATTTACAAAGTACAATCTTGAAAAATTGTATGACGAACAACAGATACAATCCAGTGTATAGAGTAGTAGATAGTTATTTAGAGAATACATATGCATATATGTGACCTGGTCTACGGAAAGGGGGCTTAGGTGTCAAAAAATCAATTTTCACTTTTTGGTTGATTCGGATGGAAGATGAGATGCTTTTTCACGTGGTGAAAATCAGAAAATCCTAACTTGCTTAGAAGTACAAAAAAGTCACTTCTTCAGTGTTACTTTTTTAAATGTTCCACACTAGCAACTTACACGATGAACTATAATAATATTCCGACCAACAACAACACTTACTGGACCAACAACAACACTTACTGGACGTCCGGCGCGGAGAACAATTAACGAGATAATGAGAGACTGACGAAACGAGTTGCTTACTTTTAACAGCTTTTTCACAGAAAACTAGTTTTCGCACGTAAGCTCCCTTTTCGTAGACCAGGTCACATATGTATATATTTATGTACGTACGTATAAGTCTAACCTAATTCATCTTCTACATACAGTGCTGGCCACTTGAATAGCGCCCCCTTTTGAACATCAGCATTGACAGTTTTCCGTTTGTTTACTTAATATTCATTAATTTTTTACAACGTATAGCTTTTAGAGTACAAAATTTATAATTCAAAAATATTCAGCAAAATTTTTATCATTTTTTTAATAAAATTTTGAATTTTTTTTTTGAGTATGCATTTCTCAAGTACCTACAACGTTGCACTGATTTTTCAGGATTTTGTTTGCCCATATTAAAAAATTTGCGAGCATACTTTGTAAAAACATTATAAAAATCAACGCCATTTTTTAGAAAGCTGCATATCTAAAAAAAAAACAAAATCGAAATTTTTTTTTTAAGTTTGAAATTTTGATGAAATTTATGCAGATTATTTATTATACATAAGTATTTAAATTTTGTATAAAATTGTAAAACAGAATATGGATGTGTTCAGAAATGCATCAAGCCAAAGCATCAATCTATTTTATTTCTAAATTATGTTCAATAATGGAAATGCCCTATTTACTCAACTAAGTTCCAATTCGGCATCTGACCGTGAATGTGCATTTTGGATATTCCCCTCAATTATGCTTTAGAAATAAAGGAGACTTTGGCCTGATGCATTTCTGAACACACCCTATGTAAAATTTGTATAAAAAAATTAATGAATCTTAAAATAAATAAAAGAAAACAGCTAGTACTCACGAACAAAATGGGCGCTATTCAAGTGGCCGGCACTGTTTATATGTTTTTGTATTTGTGCGTACGATTGTTTTATTGTCAATTTTATTTATATTGTTTAAAGCTGTAAGGAGATACCTTTTTCATAAACAGAAAAAAGGCATGGTATCAAAAACTTTATTAGAATGTCAATGGCACAATGGCATGTTGCTCAGTACTACTCTTTTAATTTATTGGTATTTTGCTTTTTCATAAAAAAATTGTATTTCTTCAGCGCTTAATACTAAAACTTAACATATGTACTTAAGTGGTTTTTATCTTTAAGTTAAATTATATTTGGCATAGGTTCTGCACACTTTTTGGTATTTTGAAGCTCAGCATTTACTTTTTTATTTCAAGTTTTTTTTTTGGGTAAATACTAAGTTTTTGCTTAAATTCTCTATCAATGTAATTAAATAAAAAATCGTGCAGAGTAGTTACACTCTTAAGAAAAAGGCACACGCATTTTCAGTATTTATATTTGTAAACCAGTTGCTCTGGCAAGCGCCACGATCATTCTGTGCGCTGAATGATCAGCTCGATCTTGTCGCCGGCCGCTGCTATCAAAGGCACTGTCAGGCAACAATCAAAATCCTGCGTTTTCATCTCATTCACCTGCATGGTGAAAATATTAACTCATTTTCTTCAGCAAATAAAAATTCAAAGCAAATCGAATCACTAACCTGCATAATTCTATCGAACGGCTTTAGTAGGCCACTCAAATCGGCCGGTCCACCAGTGCGTATGCGGTTGATGAACACACCGCGTTCGTACAGACCATCCGACACCGAAAATCCATAATCATCGTATACCTTATCTTTTTTCAATGTCACATGGAAGACACGATGCTTGCCATCTTTGCTGCCGCTGGCCGAAGTCGCGTCCGTATTCGAGGAGGGACTGCGTGGACGCCGCTGCACCTTGGCATAAATAGCCTGTGGCTGTGGCAAATTAGCAGCATCTAGATGGCCACCCGCCATAATGCTTGATATTTCATGCGCGCGCAATATTTTCAAGTCAACCGTATCGCTGAGATTTTGCAAAATACTTGTTGCATGCGACAGTGGCATACCCTGCACTGAATCGTCGTTGATGGCCAGTAGCTGATCGCCAACTTGTATTTGACCATGCTTGTGTGCAATGCCGCCTAAAGGAAGAGAAAGGTTGGCAATCAAGATATTGGTTGGCGTGTATGTACATATGTGTGTATGTGTGTATTCTGTGTCACTCACCTTCCACAAGTCCACTTATGGTTATCGGCTTGCCAATATCTTCGCTACCGGCAAGCGTTATGCCTAACAAGCCGCCTTTTGGCTCCAGTCGCACGGTGAAGATAATCTGATGAAGACTGCTGCCGCTGCTCTTGCTACTCGAGCTCGTGGCAGAGCCGTATACCTTATTTTCCATGGGTGGTGGTAAGGCACTGCAATCGGCACTGGAAGAGGAAAAGTATATTTTCTTTTAGTTAAGATAATTTTCTATATGATAGGGGCTACTCTTTAAAGTCTTGAGGCCCAAGTCTGAAACTAGAAATGCCAAACAGAGTAATTGGAGAAATTGAAGTGAAAACGTTAAATATATCCATGAGTCCTCAAGGCTTAGATTTAAAGGTTCAGACCGTAAACTGAGCGATGAGAAGCGACAAGTCATTCAAATTACTCCTCCCCGCTGATTTTCCCAATAACATGGAGGCCAAGAAGGGCTGTATGGAAGCTTTCTCTGGGTAGAACACTGCGGAGATTTCATATCGTTGGCTAGCGTCGATCTACGGCAACTGCTTTGACCGGAGTATATATATTCCGGAACTTCGAAGATTGTGCAGTCATTTATTTATCCAAGGCACTCAAAGCCTCTGATGTATTCCTGAAGAACTTCAGGTAAATTTTGTAATTAATGATTGCTTGTTCTAAAAATTCGATTCGGGATGCTTTAAACCCTATTATAGCAGGTATTAAGCAAACCACCTACCAAAAGGACTTTGAAGTTCGTGCTTTCCTTGATCACAAGCGCTGGTGCTATCATTAGCTTACTGGCTAATCTCCTATTCGTGCCAGATTCGGACTTCGCATCCTTCTAGAGAAGCATACAGCACATGTGGAAAATCTTTCAACACTACTCTGGATAGTTGGGATTAACGGCCTACTTAAGTCTTTGGCTATTCTCTATGTAGCTTATCAATTGCGAGGAAAGGTAAGAAAAGTTTATAAGTAGAATTTTACTGTGTTTAGCACCCGCTGCCATAACAGGTAAAAGTTGTCGCTGGCGGGGTAGAGATTAGACTTACTATAATTCACTTGTAAATATGGATAACTTCGAGTTCTAAGAAACTTTTACTTCATCCGGACTGGGACTGCATATCGTCGGATGGTTTGACTACATCTCCCACAACCAACATTCTGCAAATCAAAACAGCACATAATGGAAAAATCTATTGTTTTCGATAACCTTCAATACCTATATATGAACATCCACGAATGGCTCAAAAGTTGGAAGGCAACTTTCAGTAGCAGATGCAGTAGAAAACTGCCTGGTTGACCAGTTAGGAGATGAGATGACTTAAGTTCTGACAAATTTTTGAGTCTTAAAGGCCGACAACTTGGAGTTGCTAGTTGACAGGCAAAAACTGAATTTAAGTCCAAACAAATATTTGGGCCTTAAAAGCAGACAACTACAAACATCCGAAAGAGAGTTGGGGAGTCAACACATCCTTGTTATTTGTCCGGTCGACTAAAAATGCTGTCGTAACTAACTTAGTCGTTATGAGATTGCGGCGAATCCTTCACCAAATTCCGTAATTGTCGCTATTTTATCTGCCGACTACAAAAAGAGTTAAGGTAATTTGTTAAGCATTTGACTTAGCTGGGCGGCAAACGTAGGTCATGGGAAGCACGTAGATGACTCATAACGAAAATTACGAAAATAAGTTAGTTATTATGTATGCAGCCCCCGTCTGAGGTCGGTACTTCGCATTAGTACTTCCAATATACGCACAGTTTCGCACAATGCAGCCTCGTAATAGCTGGTTTAATGCCTACCGATCTATTGCCTAACGGAATCCAGCGTACCGATCAGACGTCCCGAACATAAAACAGAGATCTCTCAAAACTAAATATAGATCGTAACAAAAATATCGTTCAAGTTTTCAACATCACATGTTACTCTTTCCGTATTGAACAAGATCACGTCAAGCATTTTAGGTTTGGGTTTGAAAGATACTTGTCTTTCTTCAGAAGAACCCCAAGTGAAATAAACTTGGAATTCTGTGAAGTGTCTCCCAGCTTCAAAAATACTATAGCTAGAGCACTGCCTTCTTTAGTATCATCTTGCGTGGCTGCCAGTGGTTTACTAAAAAGATAGTTCGCCGTGCTTCTTTAGGAGAGGCTAGAAGTAACTAAATGAGAGTAGGTTGGAATAATTGAAAAGTAGAACATTACATTTAAGAGGTGCAGAGTCGAGCGTAGTTCACCAAAAACTTAAAGAAGAGACAAAAGCTCGTCTGAGTACTGGCAGTACCGATCGACTTGATCGCGCCAAGGAACTCTAAGGACGGAAAACTCTTTATAGGCTTAATGAAAGTTTTAAATAAATAGAACTTTTTTGACAGGGAATAAGCAGAGAATAATCAGATCTGAGCACTTCGACCCTTTACGGTGAAAGCAAGAGTTAAGAAGGATAAAACTGTAGTTTATTTTCACTCACCTCGCATAGCGGTCCAGATCGTAGCCGGTAAAGTCCTGATAATTGTTATCCTCATTGTCCGGTAGTTCTGTGGTAAGACTTTGTGTGTTTTGCGCTGCAAAAGAACGTCCCATCGCCGACGTGTTGGCGCTCCAAGTATTGCAGGCATGTTGATGATGCCGCATTTGCACCGACTGCAAACTGCAGTTGTCATCAATGCCGCCGCCGCCGCCGCCGCCGGGAGTATGGAAGAAATCTGGTTGCGGCGTCGTAGACTTCAATGACAAGCAATCGTTGAACTTTGACGTAACATATGCCGCTGTGCTGTACAGTTCATGCTCACTCGGACTAGCCGCACAATTGCTGTAGATGGGATTTGGCATTTTTTGTTGCGCATCGAACAGAAAGTCCGGCAGCATAACGCGCTTCACTGTCAGCGTAGTAAAATCAATAGCGGCTGTGCTCTCCTTCAGCAACGAGTCTACATTGTAATGTTGCACCGGATGATTATCCACTGCTAAGAGAATATCGCCGCCACGTAACGACCCAGTACGATGTGCTGGACTGCCGGGTTTCACATCGGATATAACAAAACCACCATGACTAGAACCATTCACGCTGATGCCCAGTCCCGATTTACCCGCGCGCAACAACTTAACATTGTACACACCGCTTGACGGTACCACCGAATCGGCCATGTCGATTTCAATCTCCAATTCCAACCAATTAGCTGCTGGCGATTGTTGTGACTTCTGTGACTGTAGCGTGCGATTCTCGCCCAATAACTGACGCATCGTCTGCACGTCCAAATTGTACATTTTATTAATGGCCACAATGCGATCACCCTTCTGTATGGAACCACTGCGATCGGCCACCGAATCGGCCAACACTTGCGCAATTGTGACGGCGCGTCCGCAAGCAGTCGCTGGGCCAAGTACTATGCCGGAACCCTGACTGCAGTCCAGCAACACAGGAAATGTTTCAGAGCGACAAATGCCAATGGCGCTGGTGGGATGATGCAGCGACGTCCCAAGCCCTACGTTCGTGCTGCTGCCAACTCCAGTCGAAGATGCGCTGCTGCTGCTATTGACACCATTGCTGCTGCCACTGGCGCTACTACCGCCACTTGCGCTGCTGGCTGTGCCACTGTTGCTGCCCGTGCTGCCACCGCCATTGCAGCTGTTGCCGCCGCCAGCGCAGACTCCAACGTTAGCACCTCCTCCGCTGCCGCCTCCACCACCTTCCAGTGGCAGCGAACTTTTTCGTACGAAACGTTGGCGTTGTCGCGACTTGCGTGACTCCAATGTGCTGAAACCATACTTCGGACTGCCGAGCGTTGTGTGACCTAAAAGCACCAAAGTGTGGAAAATATATAGTGCGTAGAGAATTGATAAAATAAAATGAAGAAAATGGAAAACTGTTAAGTGAAAATTATGGCGTGTGCGCGCCTGTGTGTATGAGTTGTGCGTTATGTGTCAGTTTAGTGAAAGTTCTTTTCACTTCCACACAAACTTGCCCCCAAACGCTATTTTTAGCGACCCCATCAATATTGTTTAATGGAAATTAAGTGCTCACCCGCACGCGAACACGTTTATGAGATTTTAAAGATTTTCAGACATTTTACAATGGCTTTTTACGCATTGCACATTCAACCATTTCAGCCATTTCTGGTGTTCCATCAATGGGTGAACTACTCGGCTGTAACAAAAACGCTTCGTTCAAGCTGATTCAAAAGGCTAAATGCTCTCGATATTCATGAACTAATAAATATTTCAATAAAAGTGGAAAATACAAATTTTCTTCATGTATCAGATGTATTCATACATATGTAAAGCATTTATGTTGGATGTTGAATACGTACAGATTGATGCTGTTACTAAAAATCCCTATAAGCCAAAGAGTTATGCACGTATGTACATATGTATGCTTGGGTATAGGAATGAGAGGTGAAAGCTCATTAAATTCATATGACAACTTTAAATTCCTTCTTTTTGTCTCACGATTTTTACCATGTAACCCTTTAGTCCATTTTGAGTCATTTTTCAATATCTGTCGCCCAAAAAATTTAATTTTCCATATAATTTATAGCTTTGTGCTTAAATAGCGATTCCTTTAAATGGCATTTAAAGCAAATATTTAGGAAATGACTCTTCATGATTACCGAAATATGTACACACATACGTGAAAATTCTCAGATATTAAAACTTTTACTTCTATGTAGATATACGTACTACACTGTGCCAAATAAAATTTCAAATTTTTTCTTTCGGTCCGATATGAAACTTTCGTTGTCGGTCACAGGAAAATAGTTGTGGCTAAGGCATATTGAACAGGTAGTATCAGCTGATTTGATTTTTTTTTTCAAATTATTTGGTCTCGAAAATGTCAAACATTTCTTCTCGCAAAAATTCTAAATTGTTAAAATCTGTTTGCATGTGAAACCTTTTTTCCATACAAAACAAGCTATTTAATAGCAGCTTCGATCGCTCAACTCAGCAGCACAACCGCTGATTACTGGGCCTTGCAAAGGGTGGGTCAATGCTTCGAGCAGCAAACAAATTTACTAAGAAAGAAAGTTTTTTTATTTTTATTTCTTTGCATTTCACATAGCACGCTTTGATTTAGAAGAAAAAATCAGAGCATTTTTTGACACTTTCAATACCTGAAGCAACAACAAATTGCACGCAAATGGTGCCTTTGCTCGAATGCTACTACCTGCTTCAGCCCCTATCTGCATTTTTCAGTTAGCGCTCACAAAAATAACTTTTTCCGCTACTTTTTTTAATAAACAATAATAAATTGTTGAATTGAATAAATAAACTACCTTGCAGGCCATTCAATTTCAGTATAATAAGTGCGTGTTTGGAGTAGCTAGGACATACCGTTGATTTTTGGATATTTATTATTTTTTTTGTTTATGGTTTCGTTCATTTTTTGTCCATGTAAACAAGTCGTCCAACACACTTTGTATGGAAGAAATGACGGAAAGAAATCAACGGTGTATCCCCGCTACTTCAAACATACGCTGGTTAAACTAGAATTTTCCACTTGTTTCACACTCTTCATAAGTCCTTGCGTGCAACAATGTTCCTTGTTCAGTTTTTCTTCAGTAAGGGCACACCCTTCTACAAACGATCCGCAATACGACAAAGGCTATTGAACAAAGAGTAAGGTTGGTGGGACCATAGAAAAATCAATCCCGGCAAATGTTAAAGCTGTTTTTGATAGAATTTTTGGTGCGGTGCTGATTCGAATGCTGTAGTATAAAATTTCCATCAGCTCCAGATTTGGGAAAAACTGGGTCAAAGTGTCAAAAAATCGCGTTTTTGCGATATTTTAGAAGCTCTAGCAAAGAAACAATAGATTATAGAACCTTTTAATAATAATAATAATAGATTGGCGCTTACACATATGTTAGTGTTTGGCCGAGCTTCTCCTACGACTTGTGGTGTGCGCCTTGATGTTTTCACACAAAGCGGAGGGACCTACAGTTTTACGCCGACTCCGAACGGCGATTGTATTTTTATGAGAAGCTGTTTTTCATGGCAGAAATACACTCGGAGGTTTGCCATTGCCTGCCGAGGGACGACCGCTGTTAAGAAAAAACCTTTTTCTATATTTTTTGGGATGTTGCTTTGACCAGGGCTTGAACCCAGGTGCTGATGTGTGAAAGCGCGCACTGCTTACCACTACACCACAGCGGCAGAACCTTTTACTTGGGCTTAAATAAAAGCTAAAACTCTAGACTACTATTGCTGAAAATACCATTCCTGCACCTGGACTTAATAGTTATTTTTTAGTCATTGGTTGAACAGCAAAAACTGATTTTGGCGAAGTTTGAGTACCTGCCGCAATTAAACAAAAGGTGATAGAACCTTCCTCTTAGGCTTAAATTAAGGCTTGAACTTTCGACTAAAATTGCAAAAAATATCAACCCTGCACCTTGACCCTAAGGTCACTTAAAGTAATTTATTTCAATAGCATCATTTTCCAGTATTTTTTTATTGTTAAATAAATGACTATAAATAACCACTCGTTATTCGTAAACTGTGCCGCGGTGGAAATACGTTCAAAAGCTGTGTTTTTCGCAAAACTTTTTTCCATGATAATAGTCTCAGAACTAATTCAGAGATCTGTATTAAGGTTAGCTGCATCTAATAATGTAACGAAAACTGGCTAAGAAGTGGCCAAGTTATTTTAATATTTTTCGAGAAAAAATTCAGTCTTTATTTTATTTGCTTCGAAATTACAATATTTCGAAACTTTACAAATGAAATAATTTTAATGAAACGTTCTTGGTTTTTTTAAAAACAAATTTCAAACGAATAATGTTGTTTAAGAATTATTTTTCTATCCATATGTATATGTATCACAATTAAAAACAAAGATCGGGTGCTCCTTCCTCAAGCCATCGCCACTTTTAACTTAAATAAACACCACTTGATTATATTTGAGTACCGCATATTTAAATGCCTTTTCCTTTGCAAAAACTACAAGATTTTCAAATTTTTTAAGTGGCTCTAACAAATCTAGCCAACCAAAAACGACGCAGTACTTAGGATAGAGGCAAACAATTTCAAAGTTCTCCACAAACGAGCATCTAACATGCTAAAAACAGATTATCAACTTAATAACTATAATTTTATTTATGCATTTGCATCATTAATTGCACACGGAAAAGTAATAAAATTCAACAAAAGTCCCCTATTTCCCTACAACTACTACATTACATAAATTTGATCAAAAGAAATGTTGGGAAATAAAAAATTAAAAATAGCAAATTGCTTTATGCTACACCGCTTGCCACACTCGAAGTGTGTCTCTCCCCGATTTAATGGAGTTCTTTTTCGAAAGCACAAACTTTAAAAACTTAATCTATAGGCTTCTGCTTGCATGGCACAAATTCCCACATCTCGATAATGTGTGCGACTGTCCACTTTGCTTTCTTTCGCCACAGTACGTTTTCATATGCTGCATTCACTTATGTATCTAGAATGTTGTTGGGAGCATGTTATTTTATGATCAGCAAATGTCAGAAACCCATATTGACATAAGTCAAATTGTGGCTGACTGACGCCATGCTAACACTTAAGCTCGCAGGCGATATGATCATTTTGATGTGGGCGCCATTGCTGAGTTGGCTTTATATGCAATTTCTTTTATTTTCACGATTTTTCCTTTGGAATTATGTGAAAGAAAAAATTATGAAATTGCAATTGGATTAAGGCGCTAAGAAGAGTTGATAATATTTTTTTTAGTTTAGGTTTGCTGTTTAACCAAGTGTTGCAATATATTTAAGATTTTCACAACCTAACGTACTACGCCGCGTATGCGTAAATTTATTTTATACTAGCAAATACCCGGCGTGCTTCCCTGCCCCTTAAAAGTATTTTTGTATGGTTTGATACCCGTACTGTAATATTTCATTTATTTTATTAATTTAATTTAATAAAATTTTCCAAACAGATGGCAACCCTCCTCAAAAATATTTTCTTCAGTTTAATACCCATATTGCCATATTTAATTTATCTTATCAATTAAATTCAATTAAAATTTTCAGCCATGCGGCAACTTCCATAAAAATATCTTCAGCTGTAAGCCTTCTTAAACCTCATTATTTTGACAGTGGAGCCGCTATATTTTAATTGGCAGCACTATGTCCATGTCATTGTAAAGCTCATAGAGCTCATCGTTCCATCGTCTGCGGTACTCGTCGTCGCCAAGGCGTAAGGGACCGTAAATCTTCCACAAAATCATTCCCCCGAATACTCCAATGGCCGCTGAGCGCACCACGCGGGCAGGTATTCATTGCTCCTGTTATGTCTGATGCAAACCATTTTGTGAAATTTACTTAGTTTAGTGTTTGCGGTTCTTTAAGTGGCTTTAGTCCACTAAGCTATGAAAATTTTAGAACAATGTGGGTGTCAAACGAATCGGGTTCAAAATAGGAGGATTCTCGACTTTGCAAGATTTCGGGATTCCCTAATGATATATTTTATGCATGTTGCATCCTGTTTAAAAATATAAATTGGAGATGGTTTAATACTCTTTATTTTTAAACATTTATTTATAGGGTTGCCACAGGTTCAAGAGTCAGTTTAACCAAATATTTTAATATGAGTATCAAACGAGAGGGGTTTGGTAAAGCTTTGTTTCAAACCTATTTTTAAAGGGACTGCCACCCGTTTAAGTTAAAAAAATATTTTAATATCGGTATAAAACGAGAGAAGCTGTATCTATTTCAAAAATATTTTTACCGAGGGTTGCCACCAGTTTAAATTACTAGTTTAATGAAATCCAAATAAAGTTATAAATTTGAAATTTTGTAAGTGAGTGTGTACGTTT